TTTACCGGTACTTGAAAACTATGTCCTCGTGAATTAATCGTTCGTGTACAATAATTTGACAGGGTATACAATTCACAAACTAGTTTCGTAGATTAGAGACAATTGTTTGCTTTTTTTGGTTTTTCACAAGAATATAAAGCTGGCAATCATCATAATATTCACGTCCGTACGTCACGAAATGTACACCAATCGTACCCCAATAAACTGGAAAACTTACCTTTGCAAACACGTCTCTTATGCCGCCTTCTTGAAGTTCTTGAAATCAAATAAAGTTACTAGTTCTAGTAACGAGTGAATGAGACCACTGAGCCAAACAGAATACATGTATAAACAGTACTATAATAAATTGCACGCAATGGAGAAATCACGTGCCGTAATAACAGCAGCCTTACTCACAGATCTAATCTACTGTAAAATATTTTATTTCAGCTGGAATTATCATTCGCTGAAAAGACTTTTTCTTGGTGTTTTGTATTGAATTTATTTTCATTGATTTTTGACAAGTTGACTGTAAAATATAAGAAAAGGGTATATTCGCTGGATTTTATTTTAACTGAAACATTCCTTCAGCGAAAATAGCAAAAAAATGTTGCAAGCAAAAATAAAGTATTTTACAGTAATTAATTTATTCTGAGCATGCGCAGACGTTTTGTCAATGTTGCCGGGAGAGGCAATTTTTGATAAAATCGTGAAAAAGACCCACTTGGGATTTTCAGATCTGGAAAAAAAATTACGTGCATACTCGGAGGGGACATGTTCATCAACCTGCCAAGTTTCACTGATATCTGCTGTAGAATTTCTGAGAAAATGTTGGAGACGGAATTATGGACATAACCTGAATTAGTAGTCCCCTTTTCAGGCTGCGCCTGAACGGGGACTAATAATCCCCCCTACAGCACCATATGGAGGAAAAGGGTCTATTGGCCAGATTATTTTTGAGATGAAACTGTACACATTATCACAGCTAGACCCTTTTTTTTTTATCAAATACGATGCTGTATGGATTCATTATTGTTATAAAACACCATCAGATTTAAACAAATAATGGTAAACTGCACTACAACGGCCAAAACATGCTATTTTCAATGTATTTTATTGGCTGATTTTCTCCCACCAGAGTATGATGACACCGTATTTTTAATTCATTTTCTTAATCCTTGTAACATGATATCAAATATGTAAAAATAAAGGAAATAATATTTTTACTTTTGGGTACCATTCTATTTAGTAGAAAAATAATTGAAATTTTTTAACCGCACCATGCGCACAACAATAGCGACCCTCAAGAGTCAACCATTGATACTTACTGCTTTCTTTCCTTTGGATCAGCAGGAATTATAATCGCCAATGGTTCTAGTTCCTCTTCATGCCTTAATACTGATTGGGCATTAATTGTAACACTGGAGATCTTTAGTGTTGGTCCTCGTTTTTTTCCTGTTTCAAAATAGAAACGATGAAAAAGATAAAACTAACTGCACCTAATTACAAGGAGGCCATGGGAAAAAAAACAAGCAGCCCTCGACTCCACTGTTAGCAATGCACATTTCAATTAAAGAACTGAAGATATCATCACGAAATGAGCAAATCTGAGAAATGTCTACCTGAAGGACCTATTTGTATTGTTTTTAAAAACATATTGCACAAAGACACTTTACGAATTTGGATCAATGATATCAGTTAACGAAATTGTTTTTTTCAATCTGGCTAATGACAAAAAATTTAATAAGCAGCTTAAATAACTGATGCTCAACTACATTAATGTAGAACCACCAACCATCAAAATTTGGATTCTCCGCCATCATTGTCTTGTACTCCTCCAAAGCTTCAATACAACCATTATGGACAGCCTCACACAGTCTCTTGAGATCAGCCTGAGATTTCTCTTGAAGTTCTGCGTCACCAGCGATAGCTTCCAACCTGAAACAGCCATCACAATCTTTAGATCTGAAGACTCAACATAACATAGCAGGCTAGGGGTTTAAAATTGAAAAATGGCCAATGATGTAAATCAAGATATTTTTTTTACTAACCTGGTGATTGGATGGGCAAATTTCTTGTAAGTCCGTACAAACCTGAAGTGAAACAAGGAATTATGAATGCAAAAATATGACAATGCACAACTAGTGCTCTCCACAATATCTTCTAATAAGTTTTTTCGTTTTAGCAAATTGCTTTAATTCAACAAGAAAACTTTCTGTGCACTTTCTCCTTGTCTAGAACAATAGCATAGCGACAGGGCAGTCTCAGTGCGACTTATAAAATTACGTATTTACGATCATCCTCAAAGTTAAATTGCAAACATTCAACCTTTTTCAGTATAAAACAATAAAATCAGTTTCTCAAGTTAACGATGAAAAGGTCCTAAACATCTGATAAATTTTACATATCCCCTGCAATCAAAAAATGCCTGGATAAAGGTAAGAATATTTTTTTTTACCTTCTGACTTCTCCATCCGTAAATCCTTTGAATGTGTCTCTTGGAACTGTTCTGGGTCGACCCCTGGCTCTTTTCACTTTTTTGTCTTCATCAGAGTCACTGTCACTACTTGATGATCTCTGCCGCCGTTTCCGTTTACTACCTCTCACATCTTCAGTATCACTACCCTGATATGTCATCTATATGGTAGAACATTAAGTGAATTAATTTCTATTCTCAGGGGTGAAGCTACGCCACAGAACATTCTATGGTGCCAATATGCAAACCACTGTACAATGTATTTTTATTGTTCTGCATGTAAATCTTGCACTGTTCAGGAGAGTCTCATCAACTTGCCAAAAGTTTTCACTGGTGAATTAATTTTCACTAAAAAAACTTTCGGGGTTTTGTACAGTATTTACTTTTATAATTTAATTACTGAGTTGAATGTAAAATATAGAGGGGAAAAGGTACATTTGCTGGATTTTATTTTCACTTCACATTTTCATTTATCATCTCTCTTTAGTTAAATAAATTCCAAGTGAATAAGTATTTCACAGTAAAGTGAAACCTTTTGAAAGATCCCATTCTGGGATGGGGTATTTGGAAGAGTGACAGTTAAAAACTGGTGTAATTGACCTTACAGTGAAAAATGCCAGAGCAGGAGAGTGTAACAGGACTTGTTTTTGCACCTTAAATGCAAATACCCAGAATTTATTCATTTTGCAATAAATTGTACTCCAGTGCAATATAATTGACTTGAAAAAAAGTTGGGGTCACTAGCTCAATTTCAATGGATATTATAATGCTTTTACCATAGGTTTGTATGGCAGACATTATGTCATATCTTAAATTGTAGGCCGGTGACATATGCTGAACATATTATGGGGTACTTTTGTGGTTCTCAATTATTTCAATAATCTCGGCTTTAAAAAATGACAAAAAATGCAATTCTTCTTTAACATTGTGCTCTATGAAATTGTTCTAAAAATAGAGATTTTTGAAAAAAAAAAGGACAAGTTTCTCAAAATACGCCACTGTAATACACAAAAGAATGCTATTTCATGGTAACATGGGACAATAGCTTCACAATTTTACACAATAAACCAATGAGCATTGTCATGCGATTTATGACCAACTTTCTAAAAATTATGCCCCAAGGTTAGGGGGTCAAGGAAATAAAGTGAAAGCTCATCAATTTTTAAGTTTACTTACCATTTGGACACTTTTCCTAACACGTGGTGGTAAATAAAGATCTAACTGTTCCTTCTGTTTGGCTTCCTCTTCCACTTTTGTTCGAGCATCTTCCGGGATGATATCATCCCAGTTCTTACTACTTTCTTCATCAGGAATCGGTTCATCTTCCACGCTCGTGAAGTTAGCCACCTACAGAGACAGACCATAAAATCTTGAGATTGTGAATGGGAAATAAGAAATTAACTGCAGACTATGATAAGATTTGTAAATAATAGAACACTAACAGAGTTAGGAGGTTTATCCAAGGGATATGCACCTCCAGTACTCAAAATGAAATGAATAGAAAGATTACAGCAAGATATCTACTTTAAATATTATTTTTTTATTAGAAACAAGCAGCCTGAGATAGCTCCGCTGTTAGCAATGCACATTGCAATTAAGAATTAAAAAATATCACTTTTCATCAAAAATGACAAAAATATTCATCAAAATTAGATAATTAAAGATATCACAATGAAATGAACAAATCTGGGAGAGGTCCACATGTAGTAACTATATATGTAATATCAAAGCAATTGCGGTTTTCAACAAGAAGTCGAAAATATCACTTTTTACCAAAAATATTCACCAAAATTAGAGAATTGAAGATATCATCATGAAATGAACAAATCTGAGAGAGGTCTACCCAAGGTAAATATACACCAAGTATCAAAGCATTCAGGCTTGTAGTTTTCAAAAAGAAGTCGAAAAAGTAAAACATTGACACGGACGCTGACAGCAATCACACAATCAACAAATTCGACAGCAGAGCTAAAAAACATCTTTCATCATTTTCACAAACTTTACACCTTTAACTTGTTCTGCAAGTGATGTTATTTGTTCAACCAAAGTGTGAATGCAATATTAAGACAGCGAGTCACAGCAACTTAAACAAAGTTTCATCCCCAATGATAAAATGATTAAAATTATTTAACGGTTTACATAATTTTGAAAATCTACCAAATGTACAAGACCTGTCCTCAATGATGACCACTTTCAAATAAATTCCTTGCTTTTATGCAACATCCTCAAACACTTTTCTGAGTTATTGATAAATAAATACCTTGAATTGAGACAATAGCTCATCTCCCATATTTCCTCCTGTTGTTTCTGTTTCTCTTGTTTCGGCTCTTTCAAGTATTGCATCTATGTCCATCTCCTACAACGCAATTAAGTTGTGCAGGGAGATTCAGTTTAGAAGATTTGATACCATCAACAAGTTTAACTTTTTAATCACCAGTACCCTCTTTTCATCACAAATTCACAAAATAGTCCTGTTTATAATATGCACTTTCCTTATGAAGATTAGGACAAAAAGTCAAATTATTTGAGTAAAACCTGAAAATTGACTCAAATTTTGTCTGTTGGCTCTAAAATTAGGATTCATTTCCAGAAATATCGAAGAATACAATAAAAATGTGCAGAAAAATTTGGTTGATAAAGTCAGGGGTCGAAAAGGTTAACAAACTGTTTTATTCTCTCATTAGTCAATATTCAGACTCCAGTGATGAATAATCAGTTCTCGGCTCACATTAAAAACATGTGCCACATCACTAACAAATGGATGCAAATACATACAGATTACCATGCTCCAGGTGTTGAAGATCAAATTTCAATACCTATTACATAGCACATGTAGAATTTGTAAAACATAAATACATCATGATTGCACTAATGACAGAGAGCCAACATCACAAGTTGTTCTGTAACATGGGTAACTGCTAAACTTGGCACATATAATTCTTAATATAATGGTACCGTAAAATCTGTATTAGAAGCTGCCTTAATAAATTAAACAAAAATACACCATTTCTTGTATGTACTGTTGAATTGTACCATTTTAATAAAAGCCACAGTTTGCAAAACAGATTTTACAGTAGTACTTTTCTTCCCCACTGTGCCAAAAATGTTGTCATAAAATAATTACAAATAACTCGGTAACAATATTGAAACTCCATCATACAGCGGTTGTTGAAATTCAAATCACAACAATTATGAGAGAGGGTAGAAAACCATCCCACCTGTAATTCTTGCTCCTCGCCATCAGCTTCTTTAAATAAATCTTCAGCACCAAATTTCAAAATGGCAGCAAGTTCCTCTTTATTGAATGGTGTTGAAGCACTGTGAATATTTAATTAATCATGTTAACGATAGATTATGTTAAAACTCAGCCTCACAAGAACTTTTAGTATGAATACTGTACTCTCACAATCCATGAATTACAAATGTGAAAATATGTCTTAGCCAAAACTTGAGTTTAACATTCTGGACTTTTCAAAGTACATTCCAGTCTTTGTTAATTTTGAACCAAATGGGCATAATTTCAAAAATTGATCAACAATGAAAGAAATGATGTACATTTCTTAGGTTTAAAGGTTACAAAAGTAGCTTGCTGTTAACATTTTTCAGATTTCCCTATTCATTCTTGAAGCCAACTTTCATCAAAATTTACAGAAGCAATTTAACCATCATATCCCTTTTCAATCACTATTCACCATTCTAATATTATTTTCTCATCATCATCAATCAACCATTCCCCTATCATTAATTACCTCCAATTGTCATAAGTACATCCTGCATTATCATTAATCACTTATCATTAAGACATTTGCAAACAAAGCACAGATGAAGTGTAACCGATGTTAATCACCTTCCAACATCATTAATCACCTTGCCTAGGTTATTAATCACCTCACAAATGTCATTCATCTTTCAGATCATCATTAACCACCTCCATTGTTATGGACATCCCTAAACAACATTAATCACCTCAACATTAATTCCTAATTCTTCATAAAACCATTAAGTAATGCCCTAATTAATGACATCCCTTAACACGGTTAAACCTACTTCCTTCTGTCCTGCACAACTCACCTTGATGGATTAGAAGACTTGGACAACACCGTTCTACCAGTGGTGTCCATTCTTTGAATAACTAAGTGATCTAAAACCATTTTCCTCTTGGCCCTCTCTATAATATCCTCTTCAACAGAGCCTTTAGTTAACAGCCTGTAGATATTAACCTGTTAGAACAAATCAAATGCAAATCTTAGTGTTGTCAAATGATAACATACTACACCTTTGCCAGGCAAGGTCATCGCCTCACCACTTAACCTTGGCAGAATTTGTTTAAAGGAGAGTAGGAAATCAAACAGGCGGTTCACCACGGCTCTCCGTGGTACACCGAGGAGAGCCGCAGACTGCTTATAATTAGGGGTCTCTACCGCAGTGGCCATCGGTACCAGTTGCAGGAAAGGTGAGAAATACGTACTTAACAGTTTCTTTTGTGATTCCATGAGTCTTTGTTTCAAATAGCTGTTTTTAAATCGAGCAGGTTACGAGCATCGCTGGCATGGAAATACTAAGCATATGGTAATATTATCGGCCCACGTATTTTATTAATATAAAAATCCATAAGTCCAATGCTGTATACGAATTGTTGTTGCGTGAAACAATGTTGTAAGAGTAAGAGTCGTAACTTTCGAAGGTACGAGTATTATGACTCGTCCATACATTTCACTTACGTTTGTTACACTTGAATAAAGTCTACCATATGAAAAGAATGTTATTTACGAAGTTTTAAATAGCCGAGCCTTCCTGATTCGAGCCTCTTGTTGATTTGACAACGGTGGGTATCATTAATGTTTATTCTTTGCCTGTATCGCATTCCAGACAAAAAGTTCAAGATTGGTAAACAAGAAATGGACGAACTAAAATGTCTCCTGTGTTTCACGTGCGACATGATTATTAAAAAAAAAACAGAGTTAAGCGGTCATGTACGTTCTATAAATCTAACCATGCACACATAATCTTGTATTGACATGTTTTTTTTTTTGGTCAAAAACGACGTTGCCTTTCAGTTAACTCTTCGCGAGAGTTTACCAATTTTTTGAACAAATGTTAAGTAACTATATCTTTTTGCGTCAAACTGGGTGGTTCGAATTTATATGTCAGTGCATGAACTCATTGAGGTCATTGCCCATTGCCGCACGTAATTCAAACACGTGGTTATTAGAGTTCAGTCGAAATGCACGCAGACAATGCGATCGAAGTGCGCTGCGAGTTTATTATAGAAAAATTTAACATTACGCATGATATTGTATGGTTAATATTACATATTCACTTTATTTAGAATAAAATAATTCACCGATGAGTCACAAGTATTTAAAATATTTTCTCGACTTTCGTTAGACACCTGACTCGGGGACCCGACTATCTTTTTCAATGATTTAAATGCGCCCATGTTTATATTTGCGCAATAATTACGAATGCAACGCATTATCAAGTTGGTAAAATATTCACAGACCCAATAGCCCGGGTTAGTGTCCCAACAATAATAAAAATAACTTACTTTGCGTAATTATTATAAAACATTGCAATACATTGCAAAGTTGAAATACTTAGAGCCCGTGCAATACTGTAAACATATTCGCGTTATTAGAAAAGCAGCACACTAAGTAAACGATGTTGAAATATTCAAAACCAATACAGAGTTGGATACAAGTTGTGTTATTACAGTACCGCCGGATATAATAAATTTACGAGATCGAAGCGAGGACCAAGAAAAATCAAAGAAAGCTTAGAAAGAACTCCCATGTGCTGAGAAGTATTGGAAACACATTAAATATAATTCGAAATTACTTAGCTGAAAACTAATTATGCAAATCAGAAAATTAATATGACCAGATTTGAGTGTAAAACTAATGAGGTCTGCGCAATGTAACAGAAAATCTATGTCTCCAAGTTTAATTGAAATGTGATTAGAACCAAAAAATTATGAATTATTATGCTTATTAGGGAATTAATATGAACAGATTTTTACCCCAAACTAATTAGGTTTGTACATTGTCCTAGAGCATCTTTGTACTAAGTTTCATTGAAATGGAATAATTAGTACCGTGAAAACTCCAAAATTTCGACCCCTCTGAAAATTCGATCGCCTATTTATTTGCCGGGCTTCGGTGT